GAGCTTCACTAGTTTGAAACTTGAAAAGCTTGGAGAGCTAGGATTGATTTAGGGGATTAAAGAGCAAAGTGTGAAAGGTAAGATTTTTGATCAATTGATCTTTAAATTGGAATGTTTATAGGCATTTGGTAATGATTTTAAAGTTAGATTACCTTGGTTTTGTTTACTTGAATGAGGAATTGATTAGATAAAGGTTAGGATTTTTAAGACCCACTTGGAGAAAATTTGATTAAGTTATTCCAGTTGATTAAATGACTTGTAATTGTCTTGAGTTAGTGGTTTATGAAGTCAATTTAAAGTGAAATTGAGTAAATTTAAGTAATTGAGAGATTGATGATGATGAATAGTGAAAATGCATAAATTAGGTTCTGAATTGAAAAAAAATTAGGAAAAATGAGAAATTAAGCTATACAAATGTAATTAAAGGTGAATGAAATGAGTATTTGATGAATTAGGATAAAATTGATCATTTAATTGAAAAATTGATTGTATGAAGGATGATTGAATTGAGGGTTGATGATGGCATTTAGTTAGGCAATTGTTTAGAATTGTTAGAAAGATTGTAGAGTCTAGTTAAAGTTATCGGTTTGAGTCCTTTCGGTTAATTTTAATTTTATTGATATTCTTGTATTTCTAATCCTGAAATAATTCATTGTCTTGAATTATTTTTTGATATATGATATTGATGGTTGTTTCATCATCTTATGTTATTAGATTCCTCAAAGCAGGTGACTCCATCACAATAACCTTAATTTCGTTAGATTTGTCATTTATACTATGAGTGAATATTATATAGCATATTATGTTTTTAAATTCCTTTGACAATTATACCATGCATTATTGATTTAAGTATAATTTAAATGCATCCATTAGAGCTTAGACGGGAACGTGACTTTATGAATATTTGAAATGACTTCGTATAAAAAATGATTGGATATGACTTGAAAAAGAACTTGAATATGTGCTTAAGAAAATGTGTTACTTGATTTGATATGTGATTTGAATTGGAATATGAATTAGTTCAAATTGTTTTTTTCATTATCGATATAATTTCTATAAATGCTTATTTAATATGATATTGTACTATCAATTCAATTTGGTGCATGCATTATGTTTGAAATACTAGTTTTGGATTATGTATATATAGTTTTTGAAATATTTTCGAGACCTTAGACAACCTAGCTATGAGAGGCGTAGCCTATGAGCTCAAAGATACGAGGCTCCGGCTAGTAGGAAAGGTGTACTACTAGTCCGTATGTCGACCAAAGAAACCTAGTCACCGGGGGTTGACCTTTGGGTGTTCGCATTTAATGACACGTTATTCAACCTATGGGTAAATAAAAGCCAAAATATGTAATTTCATATGATTATGGTATATGTATGTATAAATGTTTTGATGATTTGATACGAGATGGTTTTGTACCATTTAAATTATGATGTATGATTTGGATTTACAATGTCAATTTGTTTTGGAGAAACTAGCATTACATCTTGAGTGAATTTTAAGTTATCATCTTTAGTCCGTTTCCTTTCCTTAGATGTGTTACATAATATCTACTCACTAAGTTATTAATTGATCACCCCTCACCATTTTAGTATTGTAGCATTGAGAGATTGCCTTCTTTTTCTTCCATTCAATCGCTTGCCTCAAAATCGACACATTGATCGTACGACTTACCTAATAGTAATCTCTTAAAACCTATGTTTAATTTATTTATTTTTTATGAAATTCTTAAAAGATCTATAGTTATAGCTTATGGGTATTATATTAGAGATTAATTATAAACACTAATTAAGAATACAAGAATAATATTGAATTATGATTTGTGTTAGAAATTTCAAATATTGAATCTTAGTTAGGAATACCTAAAATGAAAGGATATTTGATATGATATTGATTTGAGTATTTTAAATTAGTATCCGAGGCTTGCTTGAGTCGAGGTAGGCCTCGCGGTTTTCTCGATTCTCACGTCGATCATGGCTCATTCTCGGGATTGTGACAGGTGTTGGTATCAAAGCTTAGCCCTTAGAGTCTAGGATAACTATAAAGCATAGGTTTTGTTCTAATCCATGTTTTTGTCTTGAATTACATGGATTAATTAGCTAGTGTTTGCCTTAGTTTCTATGTTTATCGTCTTAAATTACATGTAAGAAATAGGGGTTTAGAACGCACCATCCCTCACATGGTTTGTTTGATTTTTGACATACGATCGTATCAATTTTCACTTCACCCCGTGTCTCTTAGCTACTACTCCTATAGTTTTTATTTCTTCTTTGAACAATTCTATAGTGGCACACGATTGTGTAACTTTTACCCTTCATGCTCGTGTCTTCAAGCTACTACTCACGTGGCTTTCCTTCTTCTTTGGATGGTTTTATGATGACACATGTCGTGTCATATTTGTTCTCTAACCTATGTCTCTAACTTTTTGCTCGTGTCTCTTCCTTAAAAGAAAAAACAAATAAGGGCATGTCACTTTTCTAAACAAACCGTGTTTGATTCTTCCGGCCGTGGTCTCTCTTTATACCGAATATATGCATGGACGTGTTAATTTTTTGTGCAAACTATGTTTAAATCTTTCTACTTGTGTCCCTCTCTTGGGGGCAAAAACATGCACGAACGTGTCACTTTTCTTTATAAGTCATGCCTACCCTTACTACTCGTGTGACTTCTTGTGCTAAAAACATTCACGGATGTGTCAAATTGCTCTTCAATTTAAGGTTACCCTTTCGCCTATGTGTCTCTTTTCTTCATTTTGGTTTTCCGTGTTAATTTTGTTTTATCCTTCATGGTTTTGGATTTGCATGTGTCTTGGTTTGGGTTTACTTATGTTGATTTGCTATTTTCTTCTTGAGAACCCAAAATCATTATCTTATTTTTAAGTATAAGCAAGCCTAGTGTACAATAGGTATGCGACCAATATCTATTCATGTCATATCTATAACATTTATTTTCGAATACCGACTTAATCCTTTTTCTTTTTAGTTTATGCACTTCTAGTGGTGAGAGATATTATCATGGTCATCATGATTATAATGATAATTATTTCAATCACACCATGGCTATGATCACATCTTCATTCATGTCTAAAATTATCATAAGTTGTCACATTCACTTTAGGGAATGGAGTAGATCCAGTTTGATGAGATTTATTCTTTTTTCATCAATAGCTTTTCATTTCATTTAGTCATGAAAAGTATGAAATCGATTCAAAATATTGCTTTAACTCATTTTTTCAATATGCTATTGTAGGAGCATATTCGAGATATGAAAAGTATATGATATTAACTCAACATCAAGCATTCATGATCAATAATTCTTGCCCAAAATGCCAAGGGCCACAAAATCAAGTTTTGTGATGGTTGATATCATAAAAATTTTATATTGCAAAGTATAATAATTTGAGGAAATAAAGACAAAATTTAATAATAAAATTTAAATAAAAACAAAAATAATAATAAAATTTGAACTTTTCAATTCAAATAAAATATATTAGTTTATTAGATTCTATATATTAAATCATTTACGTTTTTTAAATGTATATTCTATGTATTATTAGATATAAAATACATGATAAATTATATACATACCTCTTAATGATCTAAATATCATAAATGGTTATGGTTATGCTTTTATATAAGGGCATAATTGCAAACATTAAAAGCTTAGGTCTTTGATTGAAATGATTAAGAAGCTTAGGGACTTGAATTATCTTTGGAATAGGCCTAGCATGATGGCCAAATTGATGAAAATTGTGAAGTGACTGAAATTAGAGGGTTCGATTGCAAAGATTAAAAATTTAGGGACTAAGTGTAAAGGGTGACACTTTAAGGGATCTATTAATTGATTTTAAGGGACAACTTTTAGGTAGATAATTCTGAAAATTTTGAGAAAAAGGCGGTAAAGAAGGGAAGAAAAGAAAGAGAAAAATCAAGCAAAAATCTAAAGAAAAAGGAGAAAGAAAAGATAAAAATCTAGAGAAGTCATTAATAACCAATCTCAAGATTAATCCAAGTGTGACACACTTGGCTTAATCCTAAGGAAAACCCTTGGCTAGAAATATGGAAGAAGAGGAAGAAAGAAGGGTTACAAAAACTAGAGCATTCAAGTAACCCTAAAAGAGAAGATACACCAAGTAATGAGAAAATATTCCAACCACCACTCTAAACCACCGTAGTTGGTCTAAAACATCCTAAAACAACCTCAAAAACAGTTTAGAAGATTAAGCAAAGGAGGAGGAACATTTTTCCTCTTGGCCAAAACTTTTGAAGGAAAAGAGGAGGAAGAAACCAAAGAGGAAGAGAGGAAGAGTGATCAAACTAGAAGTAAAGTAAGTGTAATCCTCATTGAACCATAAGAAATTAGTGATTTTGATAGTAATTATTGTTAATTTGAAGTTTAATTGCTTATGGTTTAATGGTTAAATTGTTGGAGTTACAAAGTTACTTGAATTAAATCGAAACCTAAGTTAATGGTGAAACAAAGTACACCAATAAGGTTATTAAGTTGAATCTACAAAAGATGATCAACAATAATCCTAGAGAATGACATGAGTTACTAACAGATGTTTTGTGAGCTTAAAAAACTACATCTAGAGAGGCACCTAGCACTACTCCATTATGCCCTAACATAAGGTCACGATGCTGTGCTGCCATGTGAGACCAGTATTAGATCTCTAAGGGTGGCATACCAAAACCAGCTCAGAGGGATGCAATACTATGAGACTATGCTACTTCCAAACGGCAGTGATATTGACATATAGTCGAATCATTTGTTTATCTCTTGTCAAACAGGCACTTGTAATATTATGTAGTTAGTGTTTTTGAAATAGAATGATGTTCTGTTTGTGCACATGTATTTGTTATTGTTGTTCAATGAAAAACTTTATAACTTCAAAGATTACTGAAGATAAATACGTCAAAATGAAATGCCCTGCCCTTTATTACAGTAACTAGGTAGGACTCAACTGAACACAACCCAAGTAAAGAAAATGACCTAATTAAGTAGCACCATTCATCAAATAATTTTCTAGGTATTTGATGAAAACTAATGTTGATGATGTTGTCTTTGAAGGCATGGTGTCTTCTTCTACTTTAGACTCATATGAGATTGTGATATCAATTAGGGTATCCTGCTCTCCAGTTGAAGTAAGCTGGAAAGTTGTCTTGTAATGAGAAAAACCATGATCTAGGTAGCCTCCTTCTATTACTTCCAGCCCAATTCGATGAACAGACTCATCATACTCTGTAACCCTTTCTTTCTGATATGTCATTGTTTTTATACCTACAAAATATTTTGAGACCAAAAAAAAATTTGTTACTGCCAACCCAGGTACAATCAAGACCAATAGTCCAATGTTTTCCACTAGCTGATTTAATTCATTCAGAAAAATAAATAATCCAAGTAAAACATGAAGTCGAGTCATAATCAACAAGTCGAAAAGAAAAGGACTCACCTGGGCCGAAGTTAAAGAGATAGACTGATGCAAGGCCACCATCCCCTTCAAGCATCTCAGCATCCTTCACTAAGTTTGGCATCATTTTTGGAAGAATATTCTTCAAATCCTCACCGAAAGCTTTCCATAAGACATCCACCCCAACCCCAACATTTACTTGGGTTTTCAGTTCCTTAATCATGACTCTCAAACGCAGAAGTCTTGAGAATGAAGGTGTGTATACGTTAGGAGCTAGGGAAATTAATTAACGATAAGAGAATCTTAATAAGACAGAACGCATATATCATGTATGGCATCTTTTCTTTCGTACAAGGAAAATAATATTAAGGCGGCTCACTAGATGCCTGTCGTTTACAAAGAATCTTGGTGAATAAGGATAAAGAATAATCAATAATAACTTCACCAACCGGCCGACAAGATGACATATAGGAAACCTTATCATTGGATTGGAAAACGTCATCTGTATACCGTTGTGCTTGTAAATGTTCAAGTTGAAATTCCTGAAAATGTTGGTTTAAGAAGACTTTTCCATTTAACATTGGGACATAAACTTCGTCTTTTTGTAGTATTTGTATGACTAAAAAAAGAAATGAACAGTGCCCATTTAACCAATTATCAAGAAAGTCCCGGTTCTAATCCTTAGTTTGTAGCATTTAACTTATGAACTAGTGTTAGGACTTGAGAGGAAAATAGGCCATAATAATAAAGCAGCACTTATAGACACTTCTATCAAGAGTCCAAATATAACAGCTTTTACACTAATAAATAGAACATTACACCTATTTAATTAATTAACACAATCCATTGTCTATAAATTTAATAGACCACAAGTCAATCAGGGGCCATAGTGGCTAGTATCTCTTGACCATATATTTAATCTTTTTGTTTAATAAAACATAAAAATCCAGAATCAATAATTTGGTCCATTAATATTATTAATTTGAGCAATTATAGTCATTACATCATTTATCACATAAGACTATATATGACCACAAATATTAATAACCTAACGATATGAATTCTTTGGTGTGACAAGGTATAGTGTAGAAAGTTAGCACAATGATCCAAAACAAGCATAACATGCTAGTTCTACATTAGTCCTCCAATCTTAATAGACCATAAGACACTTTTATAAAGCACAGTTCTATACCCATTCTAAATATAACATGCTTTTAAAAGTACTATAATTATAATATCCGTGACCTAAAACCATTCTAAAATGTAAATGTATTGTAAAAATATTTTATTTAATTAATAAAAGAATATTTATTAAATATATGGAATAAAGTTTAAACTTTAATTAAGAATAAAGTAAACATAATTATGATTGAAAGGAAATATCAATGAAATGAGGAAAGATTGAATTAGAAATTGATATCATAAATGGTTATGGTTATGCTTTTATATAGGAGCAAAATTGCAAAGATTAAAAGATTAGGTCTTTGATTGAAATGATTAAGAAACTTTAGGGACTTGAATTATCTTTGGAATAGGCCTAGCATGAGGGCCAAATTGATGGAAATTGTGAAGTGACTGAAATTGGAAGGTTCGATTACAAATATTAAAAATTTAGGGACTAAAGTGTAAAGGGTGACACTTTAAGTGGACCTATTAATTGATTTTAAGGAACAACTTTTAGCTAGATAATTCTGAAAATTTTGAGAAAAATGCAGTAATGAAGGGAAGAAAAGAAAGAGAAAAATCAAGCAAAAATCTAAAGAAAAAGGAGAAAGAAAAAATAAAAATCTAGAGAAGTCATTAATAACCAATCTCAAGATTAATCCAAGTGTGACACACTTGGCTTAATCCTAAGAAAAAACCTTGGCTATAAATATGAAAGAAGAGGAAGAAAGAAGGATTACAAAAACTAAAGCCTTCAAGTAACCCTAAAAGAGCGAGATACACCAAGTAAAGAGAAAATATTCCAACCACCACTCCAAACCACCTTAGTTAGTCTAGAACATCCTAAAACAAGTTTAGAAGATTAAGCAAAGGAGGACGAACATTTTTCCTCTTGGTCAAAAATTTTGAAGGAAAAGAGGAGGAAGAAACCAAAGAGGAAAAGTGGCCAAACTCTAAGTAAGGTAAGTGTAATCCTCATTAAACCATAAGAAATTAGTGATTTTGATAGTAATTGTTGTTAATTTGAAGTTTAATTGCTTATAGTTTAATGGTTAAATTGTTGGAGTTACAAAGTTGTTACTTGAATTAGATGGTTTTGATGATATATATGTGTCTTAATGTGAGAATTATGATTTTTGAATGATTAATTGGAATTAATTCATGTGTTTTGATGTTGTCTTTTTTCTTAGAACAAGGTGGTTGGATAACCTAAAACATAAATAAATTAGTGATTTTATTACTTAATGTCTACAAAGTGTTTGATGAAATGTCTTAGAAGTGTTTATGGAGTTAAATTGGAAGAGTTAAATCTTGGCCACTTTGTGGTAAATGTTGGCCAAAAGGAAAGTTTTGGTTGATTGATAAATTTAACCTAATTGATGTTAAAATGATGATAATCATTTTAGTTTAAGAGGTTAAAGGTGAAAAATTTAGGAAAAAGAAAGAAATGAAAGTTGTCCTTTCATTGGCCAATTTCGACCAAGAATGATAAACAAAAGCAAAGAGGGGTAATATGAAGTTAATGTTAATTTTGAGGATCAAAGGTATAAAACGGAATGAAAAATGATTACACTCATTTGAAAAATGAAATGGTTATGTTGTTTAAATATTTCAGCCATGATGTGTTTTTAAGGTATTGTTGATGTTCATTGTTTATTCATGTTTTGGCATGCATGCTTGATTGATATGGAACATGTATTTGATTTATTATTTATTTTATATGTTCTTGAGGATTTGAAAGTATGTATGTTAAGGTTTATATTAAATGCATTGTATTTTATTTAAATGTATTTGCACATTATAATTATGAAAGAGGTTTTACATTTATGATTTTGATGAAAGAAAAAGGAAAATTTTTCGAAGTAATGGCTTGGAACCTTCTCGAGATTTATGGGAGAGGAATGATCACCTTCTTTTGAGAAAAATAGGCACGCTTAGCGTGTTGAGGTTATGGGAAGGTACCTAGTACTTTTTGTGATTTTTCACAAATTACATGTTTTAACAGAAGGCCAATTTATACTCAATCGACAAGGTGCGCTCAAAGAAGAAAATGAATTTCAAAAGCATGAAAAGATTTTTATAAAAGTTGCATCACGTGCATTACATTCATAAAAAGCATTAAATGAATAGCATGGATTACGCTTAATAGGCATTGCTTATCTTTGTTTCTCATGGTGTAGGAGAAAAGAAAGATAAGTAAGGACATGACAAAAGGAGTAGTAAGGTTAAGACTTGAAAGGAAATTAATGTTTAAGGAATAAATGTACTTAATGGGTTAGTTTTAAATAAATTAGGAACCAAAGTTTCTTAAGTTCAAAAAATGTTTTAAATGGCCAAAATATTAGTTAAAGGTCTAACTGAATTTATTAAATGCTTTATTGAATTTTTGGAATAATTTCTTAGCCTATGGATTTTTTATAAGAATAATAGTATTAAATCTTGATTTAATGGTTAATATTCGTGGATTATTTTCTAATTACATGTAATACTTGATAATTCAATTATTTTTGAAGTAAAATCAATATCAAAGAATCTTACCTTATTGTGTAGAATATTTGAAAATGAAATATTCTAAATTCAATTTTATATGAATTTCGAAAGGAATTTAAGAAAAGTAAGAGACTCGGTTCAATTTAATTTCATATAAGATATTTTATTAAAATGATTAATTTGGATTCCAACGATATGGATTTTTTTACCAAAACGAGTATTTAATATTTCTATACATTGTGCAGGGAATTAATGTATAGAAATATTAATTCATGTTTTTTGAATTTTTAAAAAAGTTTATACCGAAGTTTTATTTAACGTGGACCTATTATTTTATATTTATTAGGGACCTCATACAAGAATCACCCACTTTGTTGATAAACCGAAAATGTTAAGGAAGGAGGCTTGTTGGCTTGCATTCATTGCACTCGAGTGTAAGTCAATGTCGATAATATCCTCGACTTATTTAGATCCTAAGTCACGGATGTTACAACAATATTAATATCTCGGACTAAAACCTTGATGTCTCAATACAAAACATCAAATATTGTTTATATTAATATCCATATATAAGATTCATGTATGATCTTACATAAAACATCAAATTAATATCTCAATGACATGTGCAAGCACACTTAGTTTCACCAGTTCATGAGTATGAAAAATAGGCAAATAATTTCATTACATGAAATTCAAAGTTTCATAGTCATATATAAAACAAAGTATCACTAAGCAATTGCATTATAAGAACTAATAATACCCATGCTTTCAACAACCTTAAGAAAATCAACAAGCTTAAGCCTTTTGGTTAGTGGATCGACAACCATCGCCTTTATGACAACATGCTCCATGTTAATGTCACCACTATTAGTTATTTCTCTAACTTTATAATACTGAAGCTTTATGTGTTTGGACCACTAGAATTCTTGGTGCTTTTAAAGAAATGAAAAGTAGCAATATTGTCACAAAAAATCTTAATGGGTTTTAAGATGGAACCAACAACCTTAAGCCTCGAAATAAAATTTCATAGTCGTTTAACATATGCCCCACTTTATAACAAACCACTATCTCGACTTTCATAGTAAAAGATGAAACAAGTATTTGCTTAGAATTATTTTATGAAATAGCACCTCCAATCAACATAAAAATATATCTTGTTATTGATTTGTGATCATTTAAACAACTAGTCAAATTAGCATTATTGTAACCAATGATTTCTAAATCATCAACTTGTTTATAGACAAGTAAATGATATGCAAATATCATATAACCTTCTTTGTAGCCACCCAATAGGCTTGTCCAAGGATTAGAAAAATATTTCCCAAGCACACCAACTATATATAGGCTATATTAGGCATTGTGCAAAATCCAACATACATCATACTACCAATAATGCTAGAGTATGATACATTTTTTAATGACTCTCTCTCTACATCATTTCAAGGACATCGATCCCTATTCAATTTACCTCATTTGTAGATTGGTATATTTCCAAGCTTACAATCTCGTATATCAAATCTACTAAGCACTTTATCAATATATGTCCTAAAAAATCTCTAAGGAGAGACAGAGGAGAAAGTTTCAATATAATCTTTTTTTTTCTTTAAGTATATCTCTTAGCAACTAATCTTGCATTAAAATGCTTAATATGTCCTTTTAAATTTTTTATTTATTTTTAAATACCCATTTACAACCAAAAGGCTTTAAAACTTTACGAAAGCTCTACTAATTCAAAACTTCATTATCGGACACTAATTTCCTTTCATTCTTTTTTTTTTTTTTTTACTAAACCATTTATCATACTGTATGTTATTAATAGCTTAAGAGCATATGATAGGAACAACTTTTATACAAGTATCGTAATTTGTTTCACCTAAAAATACAAAATAATCACTAGACAAAGTTGGTCTTCTATTTCTTTAAGATC